TTGTTGTTGTTGTTGTTGTTGTTGTTAATTGTTGTTGTTGTTGTTGTTGTTGTTGTTGTTGTTAATTGTTGTTGTTGTTGTTGTTGTTGTTGTTGTTGTTAATTGTTGTTGTTGTTGTTGTCGCATTTGTTGTTATTGTTATTGTGTTTGTTGTGCTTGTTGTTATTGTTGTTGTTGTGGTTGTTGTTGTTGTTTTTGCTGAATATGACTGTTTCCATTCGCTGCCATAGAGTCATGTGAGTTTAGTTACTTGTTGCTATCACACTCATAAAAACATGTTTAAATCTTAGATCTACTTAAGGCATATAACTCAATATAATTCTACATAGCCTTCTACTGTGATAAAGATTGGCTTGAAGAAAAAATAACAAGGAAGAGGCTAACCGTACTTAAAAACGGCTGTATTGCAAGGCTAGCCGTTCTTAATAATGCTGGTTAGACTGACAAACAGCAAGCCAAAAGGGTTGGGTTGATTTAAATCAGGTTGATTTAAATCAGTTGATTTTTAAAATTTAAATCAACTTGATTTTAAAAATAAAAATCAGTGATTTAAATCACTTTTTTACAAATTTATTTTTATTCAGTTTTTACATATTTCAACATTCAGAATTCCTTTCCTTGGTTTCATAAAACAGATATAAGGTTAAGTAGACTAATATAATCATGCTTAAAAGTCTGCTTTCCCCCCTTTCACTGTAAAATAATACAGTATCCAATTTACTTTTTTTTCATAATTGAAATCAGAGCTGGGTTGATTTAAATCAGTTGATTTTAAAAAATTTTAATCAACTTGATTTTGAAAATAAAAATCAGTGATTTAAATCACTTTAAAAAAAATTATTCTGGTTTTACATATTTAAACATTTAGAATTCCTTTCCTTGGTTTTATTAAACAGATATAAGGTTTAGTAGACTAATATAATCATACTTAAAAGTCTGCTTTCCCCCCTGTCACTGTAACATAATACAGTATTCAATTTTCTTTTTTTTTTCATAATTGAAAACCAGGGTTGGGTTGATTTAAATCATGTCGATTTAAATCAGTTGATTTTTAAAATTTAAATGAACTTGATTTTGAA